CCTCCTATTCCCCCCTCCATCCACATCCTATTATTGTGTGACCAATACCATCCAAATCATTCTTACTTTCATTTCCCAAAGTTATCCGTCTACAAGGAGACCTGTATAGATCACATGATGGCACCAATGAGGATGGAGGAGGACCGGAGTCACATGACTGAGAAGATACTAAACCTCACCCTGGAGATCATCTACCTGCTGACCGGAGAGGTGAGGAGGATTCTGGGAGGTCACATGACATCACTCTTATCTCTATTATAAAAACACAGACCTGACCGGAGAGGTGAGGAGGATTCTGGGAGGTCACATGACATCACTCTCATCTCTATTAATAAAACACAGACCTGACCGGAGAGGTGAGGAGGATTCTGGGAGGTCACATGACATCACTCTTATCTCTATTAATAAAAAACACAGACCTGACCGGAGAGGTGAGGAGGATTCTGGGAGGTCACATGACATCACTCTCATCTCTATTAATAAAACACAGACCTGACCGAGAGGTGTGGGAGGATTCTGGGAGGTCACATGACATCACTCTCTCTCTATTAATAAAACACAGACCTGACCGGAGAGGTGAGGAGGATTCTGGGAGGTCACATGACATCACTCTCATCTCTATTAATAAAACACAGACCTGACCGGAGAGGTGAGGAGGATTCTGGGAGGTCACATGACATCACTCTTGTCTATTCTGGTCAATAGACCATTTTATTTTTTTGCACACATTTAGATGATGTCAGGTGGTTGATATTGTTTTATTTTTCTCCTGATCTGTAGGATTATGTTGTAAAGAAGAAGTCTAGTGGGGAGCCAATCTCAGGAGGATGGAGCAGAACCCAGAGCCTCACCATGGTGCCTCCATCTCATTCTCTGATACCTGAGAGGGAGAAAGAGCAGAAGATTCTGGAACTGACCACCATGATGGTCCATCTGCTGACAGGAGAGGTGAGCGGTGCCGGGAATTCTGGGACATTCTCCAGTAACAGACAAGGGATGTGTCTGGATGGTGACTGTATCATTGTGTGTGTCAGGTTCCTATAAGGTGTCAGGGTGTCACTGTCTATTTCTCCATGGAGGAGTGGGAGTATTTAGAAGGACACAAGGATCTCTACAAGGACGTCATGATGGACAATCAGCCGCCCCTCACATCACCGGGTAAGAGGAGACTTTATTGTAAAGGAGAGAGCAGTACGGAGGATCCACATCTGACCCTGCACTATATATACTCTATGTTGTACATTACATACTCCTAACCCCTGCACTAATATATATCTATATTGACATTTACATACTTCTGACCCCTGCACTATATACTCTATGTTGTACATTACATACTCCTGTACCCCTGCACTATATACTCTATGTTGTACATTACATACTCCTGACCCCTGCACTATATACTCTATGTTGTACATTACATACTCCTGACCCCTGCACTATATACTCTATGTTGTACATTACATACTCCTGACCCCTGCACTATACAGTGAGGACATATCTGTACTGTCCTGACATTTGGGGGATATCTGTACTGTGCTGATATTTGGGGGATATCTGTACTGTTCTGACATTTGGGGGATATCTGTACCGTCCAGACATTTGGGGGATATCTGTACCATCCCGACATTTGGGGAATATCTGTACCATCCCGACATTTGGGGAATATCTGTACCATCCCGACATTTGGGGGATATCTGTACTGTTGGACCTCAAGAAATTAGATTGGCTGTCGGTACTTCAGGATTGATCAATTTTCAGATATCTCCCATAGTTTGTGAACTCTATACCTTCCCTACAGACTAAATCATAAATACTAATTTGGATTATTTTCACCAAAGACATGTAGCAGAATACATCTCGGCCTAAATTTATGAAGAACAAATACTTATTTGCAAACTTTTTTGTTCTTTTTTTGGGAAGAAAATGAAGCCATCCATTTGTATACAACTGTCATGTGACCTGCAGTGATTGGTCACAGCAGGTCACATGGTACTGACAACGGGGCCGGTACACAGATCTGTCATTGGCCGTGTCTGAGGTACACAGCTGGTGACAGATCGCACCCTGCACGGCTCTGCGGGCATGCAAACTGAGCATGCCTGGAAGGACGCCATTTGGCTTCCAACTGGAGGGACGAGGTGCTCGCCCGGCCACCATCTGGCCATAGGCCGGGCTGGAACTGTCTAATAACACTGAACCTTGGGGTACACCACTAATACCACTGAACCTTGGGGTACCCCACTAATAACACTGAACCTTGTGGTCTCCCACTAATAACACTGAACCTTGGGGTACACCACTGACACCCCCAGACCATTCAGAGTATGAATCATTAACCACTACTCTCTGAATACCATCTTTTAGCCAGTTTTCTATCCATTTACATTCTGATTTTTCCAGCCCATAGATTTTACCTTACACATTAGCTGTGTGTGGGGAACTGTGTCCAAGTATACCACGTCCACCACCACCCCTCTGTCCAAGTATACCACGTCCACCGCCACCCCTCTGTCCAAGTATACCACGTCCACCGCCACCCCTCTGTCCAAGTATACCACGTCCACCACCACCACCCCTCTGTCCAAGTATACCACGTCCACCCCACCCCACCTGTCCAAGTATACCACGTCCACTGCCACCCCTCTGTCCAAGTATAACACGTCCACCGCCACCCCTCTGTCCAAGTATAACACGTCCACCGCCACCCCTCTGTCCAAGTATACCACGTCCACCGACACCCCTCTGTCCAAGTATACCACGTCCACCGCCACCCCTCTGTCCAAGTATAACACGTCCACCGCCACCCCCTCTGTCCATATCACGTCCAGCGCCACCCCTCTGTCCGAGTATACCACGTCCACCGCCACCCCTCTGTCCAAGTATATCACGTCCCAGCGCCACCCCTCTGTGCAAGTATACCACGTCCACCGACACCCCTCTGTCCAAGTATACCACGTCCACCGCCACCCCTCTGTCCAAGTATATCACGTCCAGCGCCACCCACTCTGTGCAAGTATACCACGTCCACCGACACCCCTCTGTCCAAGTATACCACATCCACCGCCACCCCCTCTGTGCAAGTATACCACGGACACCCCTCTGTCCAAGTATACCACGTCCACCGACACCCCTCTGTCCAAGTATACCACATCCACCGCCACCCTTCTGTCTAAGGATTTGCTCACCTCCAATCTAACCTGTTTTATGATGGTTTAATCCCAGCTCACCTCTACATGTTGTCTACAGTAAACTTTAATCTTCCACTGATTACAGAATACTAATACTGTGAGTCCTGACCCTTATACTATATACTTGTACATTACATACTCCTGACCCCTGAACTGTATACTCCATGTTGTACATTACATACTCCTGACCCCTGCACTATATACTCTATGTTGTTCATTACATACTCCTGACCCCTGTGCTATATACTCTATGTTGTACATTACATACCCCTGACCCCTGCACTATATACTCTATGTTGTTCATTACATACTCCTGACCCCTGCACTATATACTCTATGTTGTACATTCCATACTCCTGACCCCTGCACTATATACTCTATGTTGTTCATTACATACTCCTGACCCCTGTGCTATATACTCTATGTTGTACATTACATACCCCTGACCCCTGCACTATATACTCTATGTTGTTCATTACATACTCCTGACCCCTGCACTATATACTCTATGTTGTACATTCCATACCCCTGACCCCTGCACTATATACTCTATGTGTTGTTCATTACATACTCCTGACCCCTGCACTATATACTCTATGTTGTGCATTACATACTTCTGACCCCTGCACTATATACTCTATGTTGCACATTACATACTCCTGACCCCTGCACTATATACTCTGTTGTACATTATATACTCCTGACCCCTGCACTATATACTCTGTTGTACATTACATACTCCTGACCCCTGCACTATATACTCTGTTGTACATTACATACTCCTGACCCCTGCACTATATACTCTATGTTGTACATTACATACTCCTGACCCCTGCACTATATACTCTATGTTGTACATTACATTCTCCTGACCCCTGCACTATATACTCTATGTTGTACATTCCATAGTCCTGACTTCTGCTCTCCCCCTCCCCCAACTGCTATATATACAGATAATATGGATTCTCTTTTGTTACACCCATTTCCTCCCAGCTGGACATTTTATATCGGATGATGTGATTGGAGCACAGACTTTTACATGGTGATAATAATGTGATAGCATCCTCCAACTTTGGACCCTTAAACAGAAAGTGATAATGAGGGAGGAGTCAATACCCCAATGATGGTGGTCTTCAGGATCAGTCCAGTCTTCATCTTGGTTGTTCTCCTCCCCCCATCCTCACTCTCTGACCTCTGGTGGGGCTCAGCCCCGCTGTTCTTCATGACTAAATCATGGACTAAATAAGGAAGTGCAGTACTTCTTGTGTTTGGAAGATGGCGATGAGTGATAGAGGGGGTGGGGACCCTCGTCCTATAAATCCCCTCATCACTGTCCCTCCTATAAAAGACAGTTCTGGTGGTTTCCTCACTCTCTGACTAAGGTCCATGAATAAAGAAATGACCTGGTAGGAGATCAGAGGAGCCATTTCCTAGTTCCCTTGAGGGTGGAATTGTAAGCTCCTCAGAGACCAAGTTTCCTGATGTGGGCGGAGTCCTGGTTTGGGTGAACCAATCAGCTCCTGTCTAGTAATCCTCTTTGTCTTTGTATTTTAGTCCATGGCCGGGAGATGAGGAAAACCTCCGAGGATTGTCTCACTTTGTCTCCAGACTGGAAAGTAGAAGATGAGGACATCACACAGTATAGTCCAGGAGAAAACCCGGCTCCCTCCAATGTCCATCCGGCACCACCCAGTGTAGATGGACCATCGGATTCCTCGTATCCTGAGGAACCTCAGACTGTGCGGGACCGGGCCGGCCTTCCAACAGGAAAGAGCTTCTCCTGTACTGAGTGTGGGAAGGGTTTTCCGGCGTAAATCCAATCTTAATAGGCATAAAAGATCTCACACAGGGGAGAAGCCGTATTCCTGTCCTGAGTGCGGGAAATGTTTTTTAACGAAGTCCCATCTTTACACACATCAGAGATCTCACACAGGGGAGAAGCCGTATTCCTGTTCTGAGTGTGGAAAATGCTTTTCAGAGAAGTCCAAACTTCATAAACATCAGAGATCTCACACAGGGGAGAAGCTTTATTCCTGTCCTGAGTGCGGGAAATGCTTTTCAGAGAAGTCCACTCTTTACACACATCAGAGATCTCACACAGGGGAGAAGCAACATTCCTGTCTTGAGTGTGTCTTGGGAAATGTTTTTCAAGGAAGTTTACTCTTTACACACATCAGAAATCTCACACTGGGGAGAAGCCGTATTTCTGTTCTGAGTGCGAGAAATGTTTTTCAAATAAGTCCCATCTTTACAGACATCAGAGATCTCACACGGGGGAAAAGCCGTATTCTTGTCCTGAGTGTGGGAAATGTTTTTCATCGAAGTCCAGTCTTTACTCACATCAGAGATCTCACACGGGAGAGAAGCCATATTCCTGTCCTGAGTGCGGGAAATGTTTTTCAGACAAGTCTAGTCTTAACGCACATCAGAGATCACACACAGGGAGAAACCATATTCATGTCTTGAGTGCGGGAAATGTTTTTCAGAGAAGTCCAATCTTCATAAACATCAGAGATCTCACACGGATGAAAAGCCATATTCTTGTCCTGAGTGTGGGAAATGTTTTTCAGTGAAGTCGAGTCTTTACACACATCAGAGATCTCACACGGGCGAGAAGCCATATTTCTGTCCTGAGTGCGGGAAATATTTTTCAGACAAGTATATTCTTCACGCACATCAGAGATCTCACACAGGGGAGAAGCCGTATTCCTGTCCTGAGTGTGGGAAATGTTTTTCACAGAAGTCCAGTCTTTACACACACCAGCGATTTCATACAGGGGAAAAGCCATATTCCTGTTCTGAGTGTGGGAAATGTTTTTTAGTGAAGTCCAATCTTTCCAGACATCAGAGATCTCACACGGGCGAGAAGCCACTTTCCTGTCCTGAGTGAGGGAAATGTTCCTCACTGAAGTCCTATCTTCCTGTACATCAGGGGTCCCACACAGCCCTGGAGGTGTATTAGTGCCTTGAGTGCGGGGAAATGTCTTCTAGATGAATGTTGCTGGACATCCCAGCTCTCGTGGGGAAGAAGCACACCCTGATATACACCTCAGATATACTCCATGGCTGATCTTCATCATGGAAAAAACAGTTCATAAGGAGATCAGAGGTCACCAAAGACATGGATGAAGTGTGGGACCGGGTTGACCATTGATGGCTTGAGAAGAATAAAAAATGGAGTCCTGTCCTGTGATTGGCTGAGTACATTTTGTGGTGGGAGATTTCACAAACACTTGGAGGTCTATGGAGAACAATGTTGAACGGATGTGACCGGCATTCTCCAGCTGGGAGGAGTTTTGGCCGTATTTTATTTCTTATGATCATTGGCTCCATCTAGTGGCCATAATATCATATTGGGCTAGTTTTACTGATGGAGAGATTTCAGAAAAATCACCTCATTGTGGCCACTAGATGGAGCCGGCGATCATAGGAAATCCCTGTGTTACTTAACATAAGGCCAGATGTTGTCACAGGTGGAGGAATGATTGTCTCATTGGTCCAATGAATGTTCTATAAATAGAGCCCTTGGTTTCCTTCATCAGACATGGCTCCATACTAATCACTGAGGTCACACTCCCGCACTCCGAGGTCACACTCCCGCACCCTGAGGTCACACTCCCGCATCCTGAGGTCACACTCCCCCACCCTGAGTTCACACTCCCGCACCCTGAGGCCACACTCCCGCACCCTGAGTTTACACTCCCGCACCCTGAGGCCACACTCCCGCACCCTGAGTTTACACTCCCGCACTCTGAGGTCACACTCCCGCACTCTGAGGTCACACTCCCGCACCCTGAGGTCACACTCCGCACTCTGAGGTCACACTCCCGCACCCTGAGGTCACACTCCCGCACCCTGAGGTCACACTCCCGCACTCTGAGGTCACACTCCCGCACCCTGAGGTCACACTCCCGCACCCTGAGGTCACACTCCCGCACCCTGAGGTCACACTCCCGCACTCTGAGGTCACACTGCCGCACTCTGAGACCCATAAAACTTTCGTGGTATTTTTTCACCGCTGGAATTTTTTTTTCATCCTATATAAATGAAAATGTCCACAAATTTTGAAAAAAAAGTATTTATTTGCAAAATTTTATAAGAAAAATCTTTCTTCATAAATCGGCCAAAATGTATTCAGATATCTTTTTAGTAAAAAAAAAATAACCCAAATTAGTTTATAACCAAAAATTATAATTTTTTTTTAAAAACAGTTTTTACATTTTTATTTTTTTATATTATTATTTATGTTTTTTTTTACACCCATAAAAGCTGTAAAAGCAAATTTTCTCCTCTCCTGTGGGAGCTGTGATTGGTCACAGCTTCTCACATGGTACAAGTCTGTTGGGAATAGCCCTGTACCATGTGACCTCGGTGATCATTCACAGATTTCACTAGTAGTCAGCAATGATATCAGGAAGTGACATTCTCCATACTACTATTCATGTGATCACTTGTCTTCAGTTCACTGGCCTTCCCAGTGAATGGCTGTGCAGGGAGGGGGGATGTCAGGGCAAGTCTAATGATTGGAGGACAGCAGACTGAGCTCCCAGCACAGAATTGACCATGCTGAGCTCTCATGCCTAGTGTGGTCAGTTTTAATAGGATATCAGAGGGACTGGTAGGATCACCGGGGATCTCACACAAAGGAAGCAATACAGAGAGAAGAGGAGACGTCTTCATACCGGGACATGGGACAGCCGGCACAGATCAGGAATAGGACATGTTGGAGGAACATATTCTTTGAAGGAGAAGTTCAGGCAAAGCTCTTTTGTCTGTACTTCTCCTGTGGATCAGAGGAGTGCAGTTCATTCTGATCTCCTGTGACCCGTTTTCAGGTGAAGCCCGCTGTCAGCTGACGTCACTCAGCCAGTCCAGTCTGGGGAAAGATCCTGACATCAGAGTCTGGACCAGCTGCACCCTCCCCCTCCACAGCCCAGTGAATGTGGGGGGGGCAGGGCAGAGAGCGGTGACTGACCGTCACCACTCTCTGCTCAGAACGGCTGTGAGAACGCATGGTCAGCAATCACGTGATCGCTGAGTTCTCACACTTGGACCCGGAGGGGGATGGGTGCAGCATCCACCTAGGGGCAAGGATGATTTTCCAAAGTCAATAAATAAATGCCATACTTTTCTGGCCTTTAGATGGCGCTAAGTATCATAGAAATTAGAACCATCTTATTGCCAAATGTGGTATTCTCCATTTTATCTCCATGGAAACCATTCACCCCGCTCAGCACAGAGCCTACTCCCTCTACTCCCCCCATCCCATTCACACAGAGGGAATGACAGGCACATTCACCGAGTGTATTGCTGTGCAATTGTTTTATGAACAGACTCCTAGATGATTACAGCTACTTATATAGGGACATTAATTTACATATTACCCATCAGTCCCCGCCCCTGAGGAGCCTACAGTCTAAGGTCCCTAACATTCATACATACACATACTAGGGGCCAATATAGACAGGAGCCAATTACCTTCCAGCATATCTTTGGAATGTGGGAGGAAACCAGAGTACCCGGAGGAAAACCCGTGCAGGCACAGGGAGAACATGCAAACTCCAGGCAGGTAGGGAAGTGGTTGGGATTCAAATCAATGATATTAGTGCTGCTAGGAGGAAGTGCTAACCACTGAGCCACTGTGCTGCAGAATATGTTTCTATAAAGGTGGGAAGTATGTAGCAGTGAATAGACCTCCCAGCAATGTTATTACCAGGCTGCAGCTAGGGGGCGCTCTAATGTCACCCCAGCAGAGGGATCCCATCTAGCCCACATTAACCCTCTCACTGCCAGAGCTGTTTCTGCATGATTTTGCACACATGGGAAAATGCAGATTTTGGGCCTGAAGATGAGATAAACCCCCAAAAACATCTATTCTGTGACATCAGAGGCCCTGGAGAATACAATGGTGAGAGTTCTGATTTTTTTATGTCACATGATATTAGCTCCATCAGTACAAAATACACTAAATAAAATTTTTGAGAACACAAATACATTATTTTACCAATTTGTTTGTAAAATATAAAAGATGAGGCCAAGTCAATAGATACCCAACATGTCCAGCCCTAAAATGGGGTGTGCCATTGAGATGATGAAAAACGTTGTTACTGAACAATGGCCCCTAGGTGGCACTTGAACCCTTTCCCTGCCATGGATGTACTGATGTCCTACTGACCTACAGAACTGCCTCCAGCTGGTCAGGTGACTACAACATACTGTCATGGCTTCCCCCTTCTGCTATGAGTGCCTGGTCTGCTGAGCTTCCCTCCACTCCACAGCCCATCTGCCTGTCCTCTAAGATGGCTCCCCGCAGCTCTAACATCCCCCTACAGCACAGATCCCCCCACAGCACCTATCCCCCACAGCACTGATTCCCCCTCCCCCCACAGCACTGATCCATCTGTGGCTCCCCTACTTCTGGCTTCTCTCCCCTCCCACTGGTTTCAGCTACTGCAGGGGAGCCACAAGGAGATCAAAATGTCAAAATACTTCCCCATCACTAAAACTCCCTCCCTGTGCTGGGACCTCCTACCGATGCGCCAGCCCCCCTCGTGCAGTGCTGCTGTCTGACTTCCCCTCCTGCCCCCCACACTGGCTGCAGCTGCTGCTGGGGTTGGAGATCAGTGCGGTGTTCAGGATGGAGAGTGGGGAGGTTGGCATGTCATATTTACCAGCCCTTCCTGAATGAACACAGTGAGTGATTGGTACCAATCACTCCTGTGTTAATTCACTGAAGCATAGTAATGGGTGTTTATTGGGCTTCAGTTTTGTGAATGAATATGAGCCTCTGTACAGAATCTTCCTACAAATCCCACCCATAGAACAATATTGGAGATAACAGCAGTATTGTCCTCACCCATCACAGCCTGGATATTTCCCAGCACAGGTCAGGAGGGGGAGGGGGATGGGTTATAGTACAATAAGGGGCCATAGACATGACATGACAGAGACCCTCATAGATACGACTTTGTCATCTGATCTATCTGGAATTGACTAGGTTGGAGGACAGTCTCATGTCTGGGGGGTACCTGTACACAGTGGGGGCTCCTCAGGGTATATTGTGATTGGACAGGGCAGAATACCCTATAGGTCCCCCTCATAAACCAACACTGGGAGGAGTCTGTCTGTATACTCCTCCCCCTCCCATCTGCATACAATTAAAGTAGACCTGTCATGAGAGCAATATGTAGAAATCCTCCAAACCATCAGGAGATGGGAGAAGAGGATAAAAGACCATGGAAGAGATGGGACTGAGTGTAGTGATGGATACCAGAAGGTGGGAGATGGTTCTAGAAGATGGGGAGAAGTACGGTGCATGTACTCACATCTGGGAGGTTGTGGGAACCCATCCAGGGATCAGACAACCTATCTGAGGACTTGTGGAGAATATGTCTGTCTCCTCACTGAAGTCAATGGGTGGTCACCCTCCATGGTCATCGGGGAATTCCGGATCATCATATACTAAGCAGGATTTGGATCCCGGTGGAGAACTTTCACCCCAAGAAAAATAGAGGGTGAGGTCAGCAGAGGAGCCCATAGTAAAGGAGGAAACTCTGAAATGTTTTCTTCAGAAGGTCGGTGTTTACTGGACAAGTGAATGTAAAATACACCATCAACGCGTTTCATGGCTTCAAAGTGTCACTTCATCAGGACAGGTGTAAGAAGACGATATAAAAATAGGGAATGAAGTAACAGTCCAGTATATGGTATTATAAAGACCCGAGTCACATACAATTCATGGACAGGACTGAGATTTATAGCATTCAGGATTTGTATGATGTTAGACAAGGTGAAGAGATATATGGAGAGGATGATCAATACATGGAGAAATCAATCTATTCTATCATAGAAGGGAATCAATAGATCAATAAATGACATCAACCAATCAAT